CATATGTACGTAGACGTATGATCTGATTTCGGGCATGACAATGTTTACTGATATAGATAATGAACTGCTGTCAATAGTGCGGGGCTAGCCAGTTTTCACTGATCGTCAGCTCAGTAATCGTAAGGCTTGTCGTTTCGTTTCGGTGGCTTGGGAGCTCGACCGTCAACACGACTAGCTAGCTAGGTTGGCAGCATCCATTCTATCAAGGAAAAGACTCACCGATGCATTGTTTGGGACCAGAGCGCTACTAGAACCCAGAACGGAAAAAGCTGGAGATGGCAGCCCTTTGAACATAAGGAAAGTTTTGCTTCCGAAGAGCGACACAACTGGTCTATGTGGAAGGCGTATAAGACGTTAACTACAGAGCGGATCGCTAGATTGCTAGAGGCAGCCGACGATCCTTCTTGATGAAGGTCATTCATCGGCAGGTCCTGTGCTAGGGTGAAATGGATCGGAGAGAATTGTAGGAGAAAAGACCCTTCTGTGGGATGCCGATGTCAATACTATTTCTCCCTCTTATGTCGATTCGGTGAATGGCCATCTGGGCACTGTCGTTTATAAAGCTGAAACACCGAGGCTTCAGACATACGAAGACAAAATGTTACGTGTATCCGATTACAGTTAAAACTGTTAAAGCGGCAGGCTTTAAAAGCCAAACTTCACTTGGTTCAAGCGAGTCCGTTGTAGCTAAATGTCTGAGCAGAAAGTGCAGCTTCAACAATGGGTAAGCGGACCCTACGGGGTGACCTTAGAATATTCATAGAAATATGTCGATGACAACATGCTTGTTAGCAAGGTTCTTACCTCACAATAGTAATTCCTAAATAATAAGTGGAAAAATCGTATCGTCATTGCCAAAGCGTAGACGACACGGCTCAAGCGTCATTTTCATCAGTTCTTTCCCAAGTTCTCGTCTATGCGTTGCACAGGTTGTTAGGGTGGTCAGTTCTTTTATTCGGCGCCATTTTGGTGCCGAGGATTCTAATTTAAATGTAACATTACCTTTGTTTTGTAGCTGAAATTTTTTTTGTAATATGTAGAAAAGAAACGCATCGATTCATTCAACGGGGTTTAAAAAAAGGTCTATTTTCAGAAATCGCGCTAGCTCATAGGTAGTAGTGAGACTACGGAACTGAAATTTACTGCCAATCGTGCTGCATTTAATATAACGGATCATAAATAGTAACCCAAAGTTACGGTTTGTGCCAAAACTAGCCCGTCTGCTGAGATAAGATTGTTGCAGATATTTTAATACTGCACTCTACATATTGTTAATATTACGGTTATTTATAATTAGAATAATCTCGCGTTGCCTTTTGCCGCATTTGTTGCTAGGTGTGTGTTTATATATCTGTAAAAAAAAACCATCTCGTTTAGGTTTTTATTAAGCAATGTTTGGTCTGCCTTATTGTGTTGTCGCACTGAGTAACTTAATAATGGCCAAAGTATTTTTATGACTCCCAGACCTTTGCAAACTAGACTGATATTGTAATCTCTAACATAATTTAAAATTAAATTTTCGCAAATAAAGAATATTTAACTTTGAAGCAGACCACCATAACCTGAGGATGTCATTCAAATGTCTTTTTTGATTGGCATACAGCTGTACCAATGTGCTATTCGAGAACATTTTATTGAGAAAAAGAACCCAGTATTTAAATCAATGCCAGTCGTGCGCAAACCGGACCCCGTGCGGAAAACTCTGGCAAGCAGATGTAAGCAGTGCCCAAAATTAAAGTCAGATTTGGTATTCACAAGGATTATGCCAAACCTATGCTTCTATCTATTTATGGCATTGATCATAGTGTAAAGTTGTAGCAATAGATCATTCGACAGAATGACAGTAATATACAAAGTAGGCGTGCCTTAAAAATCTATCAAAGTATGCTTTCCTATTACAAAAAACCTGGGGCTTCCTTAGTTGGCTTCCCATATCAGCATTTCGAATCCTAAGAAATAAAAGTCAATCCAATATTTTTCCTGTTTTGGCCCTTTACGGACTCGAGCAGGCTATTTGGCTGCCGGCAAAGCTTAGAAAAGGACCCAAAACAAGCGTATCATCACCAATTTTGAGCTCGCTTCAGTGTATATATGTGTTTATAATAGTATATTTATTACTTTATAGCTGTGTTTTTATGACTTCTTCTTTTAGATTTTGAGCTTATCAGTATATCCAACTGTCTCAAACAAATCACGCCTGCCAAAGCCAACCGCGTCTATCTAGCACCCAGGGATCGTGGCCACTAACAGCTCTCAGGAACCCGACAACTGTCAAACCCACAAGACTGCTGTATCAGAAATAACTATCGCAAACCTGCAATCTTAGATAACTTGGGCAATGCCGTTACCGTTGCAAAACGGTAGCGAGGTGGGGCATTCCTCTAAGTTCACTTTGCGATTGCTCAGGTCGGCCATTATCTACTGAATATGGCAAGGACGAAGGTCCTCGGCCTCGACATGCACCGTAGGTATGTCTAGGTAGGCAGCATTCTTTCGGGGGTTGACGTGCTATAATAATATATCACCATTATTGTATGGGGTTAAAGAACGAGCTTCGTTGAAAAAAACTGATTGCAAATTATCGCTGTGCTAAAATTTATCACGAGAGTACAATATGAAAAAGTAACTTTTTTCCAGTGCGATTTATTCAATTAACACGAGTTTTCGTGGTTCATTTCCCAGCGAAAAATTTACATGTAGCCTTTGTGATATTGAAACATTAGATACAATTAATTACACTAAAATTCAATTGTTTTTTTTTAGAAAATTATCGTAATATCATAAGCAGTATAATAATATCACAAAAACAACCGACGCACAATTATAATTACAGTATATAATAATATATGCTAGGTGGGTCATACGGGCATCTTGCCAATCCATTTTTACTCCATGCGGTCTATATTATTAATATTATTGTAATAAAAAAAATAATAACATTATTATTATTATTATAGTGACAAGCGTGCTAAAGTTCGTAGCAATACAAACGTTTTTTTGCGCCTGAAGCTACCGTTGTATGACGAGTACAAACTTATACAGCAAAGCATTTGAATTTACCCTGCTGATCTAGAAGCGTTCTTTCTTTGCCATTTGCTTTTGTTAGTAAACCTCTTTCTACTTGAACCAAGCTGGACCAAGTGCTGGCCATTGAACCTTCGTGTGAGAAAGCCAGGTCCGGGTGCAATCGTTATCAGCAGTGTAAAATACGCCTGTGGTTGGGAATTCCTAAGGCTCAAGCTAAACTCTTTTTAGAACCAGGATACTTGGCATAGATCTTGGGAAAGCGCCTGTGTTGGGCATCGCAGGTCTCTCCTATACGACACACGGTAGGAAACAGGTATACGTAGGCTGGAACAATTAAAGTATGAAGCCTGAAAAATAGAAGCTTTTTGTCCAAAACAAGAAAAAAATCTCCAGGCGAACTATTTGGGAAGCGGATGAAGAATTGTTTTGGTTATTGCGAAAAACATACATACTGCTTACGGTGAAAGGTGCTCACTGGCCATGAAACGCATATTTTTAGACATGGAAAAACTTGCTGGAAAAAATCTATGCTTTTCTGCAGCTCAGCTGTCACATTCAGCTGCTGAAGCAAAAGCACATGACGTTTAAGGAAAAAAACAAACAGTTTTACTTATAAATATGAAAAATAGAAAATAAGTAGGGAATCTTTTATTGGAGAAAAACATACAAAATATATTTTTTCAATGTTGGGCCTGGCTAACTCCACTAGCCATTCATTTTTTTTCAAGGGTCCATTCAAAGGTTTCAAAGGTCTAGATGCCCTGAACTGTTGAGCAAATGATTTTGTTAAATTGCTCATAAGACAGTTATGCTTGGCTTCTGTAGCCCAAAGGGAATAGGTGTACAGGTGCTTGAACACAGGTGCTATGTGAATATGATATTGGAGCCCACAAAACGTATACGGTTAATTAAAACATTTTTCTTATAAAAAGTTGTTTTCTACATAGTGACCGAAACGACCCAGCACGTTATAACGCCTTTTTGAAATTAAGCATATTGCTAATATTCTATAGATATTTGCTATTTTAATCCGACATTGAATTTTTATCACTGCTGGTATCCTTTAGCCGGCTTACGCTTCACACATCGAACGAAATCTTTCAAAAAAAATAAGAATTCAGCCTGGTACAGGCAATATTTTTGCACGGGGTGGGATTAATGCTATGGTTGCGCACTCAAAAAAAGACGTTGAAATACAGACAATTTGCTAGTCAGATTTCTACAGGGGTGGACGTCAATCGATATAGTCTTGCACATAAAAAAACAGCATACTGCCTGCGTACGGGGCAGCAGATCCAGCTAACTTACCGGAATGAAAAAATACGATCGAAGTGGCCAATTTTCTCAAAATCATATTAAAATTTCATTCAACAGAGGGCCACGAAGATCTGCGAGCAGGATTTGCATTAGGATGAAGCGGGTCGGTAACGTCTTTGAACGTGCATGGCTGCGTTGTTTAAGGAGTGGTCTGAATTTTTGTTGAAATTTCAGTAGAACTGCTAACAAATTCAAAACAGGTTCGTTGGATGGTATGGGTAAAAAAAACCAGGTTTATTAAAGGCATCTTTTTTAAGCAGAGAAAACTGGGAGATAGAAGCATTTCCCGCCTTCCTAGTCGGCGTTCACGTCGACGCTCAAACAGCCAGACTGTAGCAGTGGAAGACGACACTATTCGCCACTTGCGATGTTTAATACTATACACAAAATTGTCCTAATTTGTGATGAAAAGATACACAAATATTTTCGCTTGTTTTCTTCTGTTTTTGTATTCAGGCATGTAAACGATGTTCTTCGATGGTCTTCGTGGCGATGCTGTAGGGTGACTCGTGAAACTCACTTAGATTACAGAGAACTTATTTCTTATTGTAAAACGCCTTACGACAGGCTTACATACGTAAATTAGGAAAATTTAGAACAGCGGTATTATTTCGTCTCTTGCCAGAGGTATTTATTAAACATGAGGTTTGCTTGCATTCTAACTGGCTTGGTGACACTGTCTGGGTGCACGCAACGGTATGCTTTACAATTGTTTCGTGCGTATGCAATAAACGCTTCAAGTTTCACCTATAAACGAAGAATAATTTGTAATTGGGAAAATTGTATCATGAACTAGTTGCATTTACTGCTTTGGGTTAATGTTTTTATTCAAGTCATTCAATTTAGGAAAATTACAAAAACGGCCCATGAACGGCTTTGTCCCGCGCATGTTTTGCCCTTGACGTAATATATACATAACAGTTACTTCATTGCCATTACTCCGCTCCACGTAAGCTCTTCAAGTTCATTTATCAATCGGTTTTAATATATATATATAAGCATGCATTATTCATGAGTTATCATCAAAATACCAATAATGATACTGATAATTCGTTTTGCCGGGTAGTTTCCGTAGACCGAAATCTTTTGACACCGTCAATGAATTGACAATTTGCCCGCAAAGTACGTGAGTAGAATTGGTCAGCAGCTATTCTTTCAGCGATATACATGAATCAAATTGGCCTTTGGCCGGATACTAATAGATGACACGATCGACTAACCTACCAATTCGGCTCTTGGGTCGTCGTCGAAGCACAAGGATCGTTTTTTTTTCCATTTTCTGTTCATTTATGTACGAGAGAGTCATTCTCTGGATGTTATTAGGCTTTAACTTTTTCTAACGACAAGTCTGGTAACCACCAATATACATACACGTAACAATATCTGTAGTGACATCACATTATTATTGTTATATATACTGTATTATTTTTTAAAATAAATTACCATTCTTTCTAGCAAAACTCATTCAACATTGGCCACGCTAATTTTCCTACTAGAAATTATTAGAAAATCGTTCACAGAACCACTAAAAAACAACCCAAAATACATTTTCACTACATCGTCACAGAAGTGTGTAGCTGCACAATCCCACCGAAACCTTCGTATTCGGTACGGAAATATAAATACTACCTTCACTCGTGAGTCCGTCTACTGATAGCAGGAAAAAATTGCTACATAAAGCAATGTGTGCAAACCGCATTTAGAAAACTAAGACCAAATTATATTTCAATTTAATAAGGTTTCGATTGGGATTAAGAAATATCTTTCTAACTTAGGTCTTTATGTAAAAATTTTCATCCGTGTGTGGCTCCATTGACACCGAAATATATTTTTACCTATAGGTAATTGTATTTCATTGAGCTTGTCTTATAAAAATAGGTAGAGTCAAACTATCGACTCGTGGCGAGAAAAAGCCGTCAAGAATATGGGACATTATATAGAACAAATGTTTTCGATCTTTTGATGTTTCCATTAGCAAATCTCTCAATAATATATAAATTTTCCGAAATTGTATTACCAAAATGCTTGCCACATAAACCACTTCAATTTTCCAATTTATACCTAGTAAAAGTTCCCGCGGGAACATATTGCAGTTTTGCTCAGCGCGTCGAAATCCATCGGTTAATAACAAAAATCCCCCCGCAGATCAAACACCATCTTAAGTTTTTACACTTTGAACGGCGTCTCCCGACTTGGAAGCTGAGACTTCAGTATAAAGTTTACATGTACAGCATTTTGAATTTTTTGAGAGCTTTTGATTGGCGCCAAGCGATACGCTTTCCAACTTAGACCTCTATGTAAATATTTCACCGACATTGTGCCGAAAGCTCAATAGCCTGTTATATTATATTTATCCTGTTTCCCCATTTCAATAAATCCCAACAGTCTAAGAAAAGCGTTCATCCAGTTGAAGAATATAGACCATATATATCGCCTGTTTATGAAAGGAAAAAACTGCTCCTTAAAATAATGTATTGTCACACTTGAAGAAACGAACTTTTTTAATATTTGGCAGATTATAAACCGTTCAAGAAAAAAATTACAAAAACACTACAATTAAGTCGCAAAAAAGATTTTACGGCCATTTTGTAAAATTCAAACTTGTTAACATTAATTTTCTATCACTTCTCAACGGCTACCGAAGAAATCACAAAAAAGACCAATTTGCTCAAATCAACTTACATACTATCAAATGAAAAAGAGCTCTTTTCGGGCACGAAATATCCGGTTAATTCCATCTTAGTCCGTCCAAAGACCTACCCAAAAGAAAACGCTAGTGACCTATAAAAAATCCCAATCGATGGTCATTCTGCGTGAGACGAAGCCGAGATATTTAATAGTATATATATATATATATATATATACATTTGAGCACCATCCGCGGACTTCATTGTGCATCTAGATTTACTTTATTTTATCTATGTAAAAATAAAAATTAGTCATAAAAGCTTTATAATGAAGGTAATACCTATACAGCTTCTTTCATATTCTAAATATTATAGTATAATAATTAGATAGAATAGAGAACTAGGTGGGTCTCGCCCGCACCGTAAAATACCGCGTAGTACACGTATAGTACATGGATTGATCTAGCCGGGCAAGTGAGTTTGTTCACGATTTAATGAAGTTGAATGGTTGATAGTAACGATTTTAACGAGTCTGCCCTACGTTACAGCATGTGGCAACAGTTACCCCACTATACTTATCCTGCCTGCGTAATCCGTTGCCGTACGCCAGCTGCTTTATCGGCCTGTTGGTAATATGAATAGATTTAATTTGTAACCTACCAAAATAAAATCTATAGTTAAATCAAACAAATCGCATCATTCTTAAACTTTCCAATACGACTGCAACAGTTGTTTCGCCATAGTGGTTGTTCTGGACGTGTCTCCTTCATTCATTGAAATATTTAGCCAGTCGTACTGCCGCTCTGCGATTATGCTATCAGTCTGCTCCAATATTCTATTCATGTCATAACCATTCTAACAGGAAGGAGAGCTCGATAGACTTCCGGCCTGTCGGTAGATGTCCTATCGTAGCCCTTGCAGGACCATCCACCATGAATTCCGTCAGCCTCCGGTTGGAATATCCTATTGTGTTACTCAGCTCTAGCAGTGAGCAGTTTTCTATAGAAGTTGCTCAGTGACCTTGCCAATTTCTTCCAAACATTTCGTTTACACATACACTTTTAGTGCTTGAGGAAATAAGCTTCAGAAAAGCATACAAATTTTACACAACTTATATATGTGAAATAAACGAAGTTTCATATCGTAATTTACACAAAGCGTAGATTCCATCTGCGTCAAATGTAACTAATTTGGTCTATAGAATATATTAAATAGGTTGGCGTAACTATCATTTTTAGAGCAAAATGCATTCATTCTGCAATTAAGTAAATTATGTTAATTGAAAGCGACACAATAAAGGCTTTTACATCTCCTGAGAATCGTACTAGAGTTACTAATGAAAAAAAGATGTCCGGCTGCAATTTTGTTTTCGTTGGTCGACTTTCGTTTCCACTAGCTAAGCAAGCTGATCATTACAATATATTGATTAACGAATTGCACTAAGAAATGTACTTCAATCACTGCTAACAGACCACAAGTCCGTGTACCAAATATGGCTCAACTGCCTTCATTTGTTCAACGTAAACTTCGTAGATCAACAGATATTCTACATACCGCTCCACCAATAAGCGTTCGGTTGCCGTCCAGATTCATAGAGACGGAGGTTTTCATCAATATAGACTGTCGACGTTTGCCCCGTTAAGCCATAGCTGCGTAAGCCTATTTCTGTCCTCCGCTCAGTCACAGTATTGGTAAACAAAGCGTAAACGCCCGCTATGTCGAAAAAGGAAGTGCCTTATCATTTATTGTACGTTACCTTCCAGTGCTATCTGGAAAATCGTGAGACACCATTTTTCGGATGTTACAATATAACTTGAACGCCGATAACAGATATAGAGTGTAACTAGGAAGATCTGATTGGGTAAATAGATAAAATAACAGTACAAATACTGTTTTATCATTAAATTATATAGAGTTTGACGTGGAAGATGGCGGACAAAATTCCGCCATTTCTGAAACAAACTTTTTCGAATGAATACTGACTGACAATCATTTAAACATTTCGGGATAATATTCACGACTGAGCTCATGTATACAAAACGTGAAGCTAAATATAGGTCCTATACAGATATAATAATTTTTTGATTGTACGAAATTAGCTGACGAAATGAATTATGCATGACAGCATTAGTTAAACAATCCTGAACCTTTCCCCACGTAATTTAATTTAAATTACGTGATGAATACAATAAATCCATAGGCCTAATACGACTAGGTAAAGCGACAATTTTTTGCAATTTATGGTTCAGGATTGTTTAACTAAAGCTGTCATATAATATATATATATATATATTTTTTTTTCTTTTTCTCCTTTTCTCACGGTGCTTTTCGAAGGACATATGCAATATTCCGAAACTATCACAATTGACACAGTGAATTTACAAGTAGCGCTTATAAGTTAACAACTGATACACAATTTTGTTCGATTTTGAATTCCTCTTCGTCTCCGCAATACGCTCAAAACCATATGATAACTCCAATTATCTAAAAGGGTCAAAACGCGGCCTTGCAAAACTATTAGTACTTCGTAAGTTCCTTTGAGTAAGGATTTTACTTATGACTGACTTTCAGGTCTCATTGCGCACACGCCGACTTCGACTCATTCCATGTCAAAGGGCCTAAGGCAAATTGAATAGACTCTAACATCAATGAAATACAATGTCGAGATTCACCGAACTTCGCACAAGATATGTACACTAATAGTATTTGAAAAGAACTCAAAAGCACCGAGGTCCTATGTTTCTGCAACGTAAAAGAAGTTGATGTTCTCGACTTCAGCTAAAGTGTATATGGGCCAGTTTGCACATAGCGTTTTATATGTACAGGTAATAATAAATAATTACTGCCATTAATAATTAACAATCACTTGTAACTAATAGCTGAAGCGAACAGAGCAAGAGTTTGCTCGGAAGGTAGTTTTTCAGTCAACAGCTACTCTGGCACTAAACAGCGCGATGTACTTGGTTACATTATCGGAAGGATGTATTAATGCCTTTACATTCATGCGACACATCCGGTCGCGAGGCCGCCTAAACACATATATGCATGTACGCGACGTTATTGGTGATGCTACCAGCATTTCTATGGTGACATTGATAGATACGACTGGGACCAGAGTTTGTAGTCTTTGAATTTATACTCTGCTAGCTAGAGGGCAGACGGGCCTTCAAGCTGCTACAATCCGTTGCTTAATTTCGAAAAAATTCGAAATTATTGTTCTTCCTAGCTTACGTTCAATGCATGTTTAAGGAGTATAGGACGCGAGCTTTGCTTTATTAGCAGTATATCGTTAGTAGATTGCAATCATTTAAGTCCGTGCTGAAAAATTGAGTTTTGTACAAATGTTGTACTTGTGATCTTTATCAATAAAGTCGCATCCTTTTTTTATGAATTAAAATGTCTAATACTGTACTTAATAGGTAATGTAATTGACTATCCGCTTGACTGAGCAGTACTTTATTCGAAATGCTCATGTATCTTTTAGCACTTTTTATGTTTTTTTGTTTTCATTTTGTTTACAAGTGATTTTGGCATAGCGCGTCTTTTCTAAACGATTGTGTTACCGACGCCAACAACAGGTTCTAGTAGTATTGATGATTAGAAGGCCGGTTTTAGTACGTGACCCCTTGAATCGTCACGATCGGTAGCGAAGATCATCATGAAACTTGCAACAAACCCGGGCTTTGAAAAGACCTTAGCAATTACACAGTGGAACTGTAAGGGGTTTACAACTTCGGCGCTCTTTTCTCGGAGGCCGTGTGCATTGCAGATCTTTTCATGCTAACGGAAACTTGGATAATTAGCCTCTTTAACTTACCGTGTTTTTATTCTGTGCACTACTCTGCACTGAAAAGCAACGGGCCAGGTCACCTCAGTGGACGCATCTCCATTTTCTACAATTATAAAATAAACGACATTACCCTGTGCACGGTAAGAATAATGTCATTGTCTTACATTGCCAAGGGCAAGGTCTCGTAGTGGCCTACGCTTGGTGACTCAAAGTCAGCGTGCTTATTGGTGGGGAAACTCAGTGGACCGAAAATGCTGTCTTATTGTTCTGCCTCTCCTCTGGTCATTACCGGCGACTTCTACGCCCATCTCGACTAGCCGAACTTGAGCCGCACTACAGCTCATTTAAGACACAATCGCAAATCGTGGTTGGTGGGTAATAAATTTCATCTCAATACTGACTCTTCTAGGACATGTAGGAGGTTCGGCTACCGATACATTTGCGACGAGTCTAATTGAGTATAGGGTAACGTTTGAAAGCGAGGACCTCAGGAGAGGCAAGCATGCACCCTTACATACAGCCGGCGATAGAGCTCACTGATCAAGTTACACCTGCATGGACTGTCAAGCGCCTAACTTCGTTACGACATTTAGATGTGGAGCAGTTTCTGAAATCCGCCCGCGAAATTCTCCTCGAAGCATCTGGTTGAAAGTCTCGAGTCTACACAGCGTATCGTCTTTCCAAAAACACAGGCCGTAGTTGAACTAAACTCGCAGCTTTGCCTGGAGGGCCTAAATGGCCTTCAGGCTTATGGCCAAAGTACAGACCCGAGACGTATGCGTCACATAGGTAATAATGTCCTAAACGTCTAGAGACCCCATCGATGCAGAGTGTTAACCATAGTAGCGGTTAACACACCGCAGTAGCTCTGCAGGTTGTCTGAATAGCTCGTTGGCCCATATAAATCACTTCTCGAAGATGTTGGTGTCAAGTATGCGATACTACGTGTGATACCCTTTGTCGCCGCAGCGCGAACCTCAATATAACACGATATCCCTCAATAAAACCTTACAGTGCAAAAAAAATTTTCCAAGACTAAGCAACGAGAAAGCCACCGAATAGGGTTTGCAACGAGCACCTTAAATGCGATGTCGTTTTGACACTGTAGTGGATAGTGTTATTAAATAAATATTTGCAGACTGATAAACGCCTAGCCCAGTGGAAAAAACGGTTCGCTGTTAGTGACACCTAAAGGTAAGGGCGATCCAACCGCGCAGCGATCATAGCGGGGTATATAGCGAAGAATTGTTTGCTACAAGCCGCTATCCGACTTGCTGACTAAGAGACGAAAGACTTAGTTGAAAAGTAGACCCGTCATCCCAACGAAGCAACATGGCTTTTGGAGAGAACGCTCCACAGAAGCGGCGTGCAGGATCCTGATATCCAACATCGAGAGCGCGCTGGCCACACCTACATGCGGTGATTGTGTATTTCAAAGTAGCCTTCTAATCAAAAAAGTTAAGTTCAGACTGGCTCGACAGACAGACCCTTACTCTTCATCCTTCTGAAAGGCCTTCCTGCTCAATACGAAGGCCGATGTCATCTTTCATGCAGACGATTTAGTTTTATACTGGCCGGATAAATTCCAAGTGCAACAAGCTCTAGCCCGGCTCCATGGGGCAGTGATATGTTTGGGACTGACCGTATGTTCAACTGAAAGGAAGGCGATGGAGTTTTAAAGGGAAACAGGACAGCAGTCACTGATCGTGGCCAGGTCACCTCTTGTACAGGTTAACTGGGGTTGCTCTCTTTTGCAAATGGCAAAAGTTAAACTGTGCACGTAGCCGAAAGATCCGAGAAGGCAGTGCTGACTTCATGGGCGACCAGTCGCCTCATCGGTTGTCTCTCGTAATCGCGTTGACCCTATTCGACCTTTAGGTATTCCCGACTGCAATGTATGATACACGTGTCACTTGGGAAGACCTTACTGTGCCAAACCTCGAACAACAAGGTCGCGTTAAAGTATCCTGCCTCAAAAGAGTATTAGGACCATACATAGTGAGTCAAAATCGTCTTGCGTAGCTCCTGGCCGGTTCGCTACGCATTGCCTTTAGCTCCCAGCGACAGAAATCTTTAAAACCAACTTTAAAAGCTGAGAGCGTAAGTTCGCGAAGATCGATGGGGATTTCTTTGCTTCGAGTATGATAAGAAACAATAGATGAAAAGAGGCGAATCTGCTGAACAGGCATGTCGTCACTTGTCGTGCATTGCATGGGCTCCACGACAGACCATACAAAAAAAATCTGATTTCCATGACAATGCATGCAGATACTCTAAATACGGTGAAAACTGTGTTATATGTTGCACTCCTGGTACGATCTTTAGGACATCTGGCAAATCTCTTCAATTAGTTTTATAGACTCGATAAGATTCGTGTAACCCGTATGCCACTATGACTAAATGGTTCCATACACTTACTTTATATATGAGGTTTTTTATTGTTATCATCCAAGGTGAATAAATGATTAATTTGTTATCAGCGTTAGACTTTTGATCAAAAACATGACGTACTTTAAAATAGGCCTAATTACTTAGTTTTCTCTTTCTAAAAATGTTCAAAAAACGTTTAGACCGATCTTCAATTTAAAAAATTAGCTCACCTCGTTACAGCATTTCGGTTCAGCTTCTAATTTAAAAACTTCTATTATATCTAGCTCAAAATTACGCGGCGTTTCAGAAAACGAGTCCTTAGTTCAGTTATGCTTGAACAACAGTAGGCCTCTCTTAGCACTGTGTCTTTATTTGGCCAAATAGAGGTAAATAATTAATAAAAAAAAAGTTTGTTTAATTTTCCAAAAAAACGTAATTAGCGTACCTTCAACAGCACAATATAGACCAAGTTAGGCATGCCGCTTGGAGATTATATACTTTTTCACACTTGTTAAAAGTTATTGTAGATTGTTTAAGATAAACATGACTGAATATTAACGTTTTAACTCTTCGCGTATGTGTTTCTATGCAAAGTCAGTACAAGCCTTGTAACATAAACATTTACTGTAGTCTTCGACCTACAATACTAACATGGTACCCGTGTTCTGTCTCCCGTATAAAAGCGTATAATAAGCTGACGCTTCTCATCTTTATTCGATCTAAAGCACTATTATCTATCAAGGTAGCAGTCGTATGGAGGTCATCGCAGCCGATATCTGTCCTAAATTTGATGTTGTTTCAAAGATGCCCCTTTTCATTTCGCCTTATCAAAAAATGTAAGTGGACATTTTTGTGCAATATTTCCGGAGTATATAACCACCATATTGATTCTTGAGATTGCTTTTTTGTCGGTGAATTTACAGACTTGCCACATAAATGTAGTGTCCCCATAAACTGGTGTAAGACATTCAGTTTTTTAGAAAAAGTAGAGTTAGAACTGATGACGCTTTTCATCTATTTGAGTAAACAAAGTGACCTATTAGGACAATTTGAACGAAGCTTTACGTACTCCATGATCCTCTAATTTAACTTGAGACATCGCCACTGCCATTACGGCCATCGTTTCCCTAGTCGTTGTAAATCGTTCTGTTTTGCCAATCTTACACTTTGTCACTCCAAAGCGTCCTTTGACTCACTGCCTGCTGGACAATTTGAATAAATGTTTCTACTGTACCGGTCATACCTCAATTTACGCCCTTTTGGGCACGGCCAGATGTTTTACGAGGCAATACTTTTGTCTAAGAGATGTTTTTCTAGGTTGTAGATCTGGATTTTCTTTCTAAGCAAATCCGAGCCAAGTCGATTCATTTACAAAAGGGCTATTTTCAGGTCCGGCGATGTTTCCGCAACGTCTATATGCTTACAACAAGAACGACGACCATGGGTCGTTTTAAGGTCTATTATAGCCTAAGATGTGTTGAACAGATAGTGTGAACTAATAAAGCTCACCACTTATGGGTATCTGTATCAAATCACATATATCTAGATACAAGAAACAGTTAAATCTAGCGGGAACTACATTGTAGCATTACTTGATGTTGTATCTATTTCACTGAATCCAGCATCAAGTAATACACCTATATGGAATCACATTCACTGGGATGGCTGTTAGTGTTTATCTCAAACACGTAAGCTTATTAGTCAATTGATGAGTCTTCATATATGGGCCTTATTTTGTTTGATGAATGATTAGAGTAAAAGATGCATAGTTCGAACGATCATGTTGGCTCAGTGTCCAAACCCGGTCCTAACAGTAGACAAATAATAATCGTATATATTGACATGCCGTATGTCTGTAGACACGTACTTGCGGATACAATTGTATTGAATTAGGTAATTTTTTTTTGCTTAATGTCATGAAGC